ATAAGCGATCGTGAATAGCAAGTCTACCTCGTCCACTGGCTTTTCGAATTGTAGATTAATGCTTTCGGCGTGAGCTCTCATCACGGGGACACGAACACAAGTAGCTGTGACACGGACTTCATCGTCATCCTGAGACACCATACGTCAAACTACAAGAAATAGTCAAGGAAAATAAAGTACCCAGATTTTTCGAGTTTCTTTCACAAGCTTAAGTTCTTCCTCGTTGTAGCCATTTTCCTTGACGGACGAGTTGTGGGAGAAGAGATTGAAAGCGTACTGTGAGAGACAAACGTTAGCCATTCCTAAAAACCATATTATTTGGAAAAACCACCTGCTGGTTGAAAATTTTGCACGTAGGCTCTTTTCCTTCCAGGACCTCACGCGTTTGCTGCTCAAGCTCCGCCATGGCAGCGGCACCAGCTCCACTCGCAGCTTGGTAAGTGCTCACGACCATGCGCTTTACCTACAAACATCCCAGTTACTAAAGCTTGGAAGCAGCAGCAACACATTCTTAAATCACCTTAGCGTGACGATGAAGAGGTGTGACAGCCATGAGGCATATAATCGTGGAACAGTTTGGGTTGGCAATGAGAGCTCCCTTTTTGTTGCTCAATCTTATGTGTGCCATGGCATCTGGATTTACCTACATTTTCTCTACAAATCAGCATTGAAAAACGCAACCAAAGAGAACTAACACGAACACTTGCCTCAGGAATGACAAGGGGAACACCATCCACCATTCGAAACGCGGAGCTATTGTCGACAACAATCACACCTTTGTCGACCGCAACTGGTCCAAATTCCTTGCTGCAAAGCTTGAGAGAGTTAGATTTTTCCTTCTCTAGCGTTAAGTTTCTCAAACCAACGTTACCTGATAGATCCACCAGCGCTGAAGAGAGCAATGTCGACACCATTGAAGGACTCATCCGTGAGTTCCTCCACGACATAGTCCCGGTCCTAGAAAGTAAAGAGAATCACGATCGCGCCACGAGTGAAAGAAAGAGTTTCACACACCTGGAACGTCATGTGTTTGCCGGCGGATCTCTTGCTAGCCAGGAGCTTAAGCTTGCCATACGGGAAATCGCGATCGTCAAGAACACTAAGAAATTCCTGGCCGACGGCGCCAGTCACGCCAACGACAGCCACAGTCGGCCCATTCTCGCTCAGCGCCATCGTCACGACGCCGCATTGCTTGCGCCGCCTGGAGACTACAACCCTGTGCTGCGATCGCTGCGAAGACGAGGAGAGAAACGAAGAGATCTGGATGCTCCCGGGCTGGAGCTTGAGAAGCGCCATCGCGTAAAACCCCAGTAGCCGCCATCACAGCAGTAGGGTTCTTCGTTTTTATATTTTTCGTTCGTGGAAGAGAGTGAAAGAGAGAGAGGAGAGACAAATAAATTTCCAGGGTTTAGGGTTTTCTTGGATCGATCGTTGCCGCGGGCGCGAGGATGATGGAGATCCTGCGCGAGCAGATGGGATTCTTGCTCGATCAAGGCTTGCACGACTCTGCAGAGATTTTGGTAGATCTTTCTTGGATCTATTCGTGTGATTTTGGAGTGAATGGCGGCATTGCAGGGCTCGTTTCTTCTGTGCGCGGCCGCGTCCAACAACGATCTGGCTCCTACCGTTCGCGCCGAGAATATGGTATGGAGTTTCTTTGCGGGAGTGATCGCTTTTGTGAAATCTTTCTGCCGGTCTAGGTGTTGTTTGGCGATGCTTTGTATGGAAGAAGAGAGTACAAAAGGGCTCTTGTAAGTTCCTCTAGCGTTTTTTCTTTTGTTCCATGCTTGATCTGGTTTGTTTTTGTTTCCTGTTTTTCAGAACTTTTATCGGCAAGCATTACAACAATGTAGAGTAACGTTGAAACCAAACACGGCTGTCACGAGAAGCACTCTTTCTTCGACAGGAAGTCGACCATCGTCCGCAAACTCAAGTTATTGTGGTACTATCAATGACAATGAGGTATGCTTCGATTTTCTACGTTCCAGGCATCACTCTCGTTTCTCTTGTCTGTGTCTCCAGGTGAAGTACAAAATAGCTCTCTGTCATATGGGCTTGCGCGACACTCGCTCGGCTCTTACAGAGGTTCGTCTTGCCAAACATCTACAAGAGACAGAATAAATCCAACGCACCATCTTATCCCAGTGATTGCAGATGGAAGCCATACCATCAAAAGCCAGGACGCTGCGTATAAATCTCACGCTAGCAAAGCTCTACCGTGTTACGGGCTACGACCGAGCGGCGGTCGCTTCATATCGAGAGTGTCTAAGGTAGTTTCTCAAGTACTATCTGTTTGCTCTTTATCTGTTTTCTGACAGGCAATGCCCATACGTCTTGGAGGCCATTATAGCACTGGCTGAGCTTGGAATACCTGCGAAAGATATTCAGCTTCTTTTTCCTCAGGTATGAGAAGTACTTACATTTTGGAACTTATTTTTTATTTTATATGCAGACTCCTAGCAAGGTTGCTCGAGCACCCTCTGATGGTCACGAATCTTCACGCTTGCTACAGGTATAATGAAACTGGTACTGTTCGGAGTCTGATATATGTTTCCTTCAGAAACTTACCGAGGTTCATTGCGGGATTGCATCTTTGGACTATAAAGGTATCTATAGTTTCTATGGTCTTGTAGTTAATTTCAGTTTCCTGTAGGAGCTTTAGAGAATTTAAACCAGCTCGCACAACGTTTTCCAAATAACCTACATGTTTTACTAGAGACAGGGAAGGTAATCGCTTTTGTGAGTTTTCTGTTAAGCGATAGGAAAAGTTTATATTTCGGTTAAATGCTCACATTCTGGCAGGTTGAAGGAGCTTTGGGGAGAGGCGATGAAGCAGTTCACAGCTTTGAGAAGGTGAGACCTTTTCTGTTTTCTATTACGTCGATTAATGCGTACGAAGTTTATGTTCCAGTCACGGCAAGTAGATCCCTGTAACTTGACAGATATGGACGAGTATGCGATGCTGCTTAGAATGAGAGGTGATACTGCCGAAATGAACCGTCTAGTTTATGACCTGCTCAATGTTGATGCCGGAAGGCCGGAAGTATGGGTCTCATCTGCTGTTTATTGGGAAACACGTGATGACAGAGTTCGCGCTCTCAGTTATGCTGATAAGGTGACCGCTATTCTTCAGGTATCATATTGATTAATCCGTGTTCGGTTTCAGAGTATACGTGTTGCTGACCGTCATACACCGGCGTATCTTATGAAGGTATTCATATTTCGTTGAAAATAATCTTTTCTGATCTTTTTTTTGAAGGGGAATCTATCTTTATCTTTGAACCACTCTGAAGCTGCTGTGATGGCTTTTAGAAAAGCTCAATCTTTAAAACCAGATCTCCGATCCTATCAAGGTATGAAAAACCGCAGAGCTTCGTGTATTCACTTCTTGTGTTGAAGGTCTTGTTAGATCATACCTTGCATTATCGAAGAACAAAGAAGCTCTCTGTGCTGCCCGCGAAGCCATGAAAGCTATGCCTCATTCTGCCAAGGCTCTCACCCTCGTAGGTGATGTTTATGCACATGTTCCGGAAGGTCGAGAAAAGGTAAAGCAGCAAAGTTCCAAGATTTTTTACATGCCATGGTTTTTAATTTCCAGGCTCGCAAGTTTTACGAGTCTGCATTGCGCCTGGAGCCGGGGTATCTTGGTGCTGTGCTTGCGTTGGCAGACTTACACAGAATGGAGTCCCGCAATGAAGAAGCTACACTACTTTTGCAACGTTACCTGCAGAACTGGGCAGATGATGCTTTGCACACGAAGCTGGCACAGATACTGGCGCTCACAAACAAGCTGGGAGAATCTCTATCACATTATCAGGCTGCTCTGAGGTAACATGTCATCCTTGCGTTTCAAGTAATAATTGTGTCGAATTTTTGCAGCATCAATCCGCAAAACGAAGCAGCAAGAAAAGGCTTGGAACGTTTGGAAAAACAAATGAAGGGAGTGGATCCTGATGCACTTGAAGAGGACGAAGAGAATGAAGCAGAAGATGGAGAAGGGGACCCCGAAGAGGCCGAGTTCCTGTAGTAAGTTCCATTACAGCTTTTACATTACTACAGATTTTTACCTGTTGTATAACACTACCATTGGCTTACTCTTTGTATGGCGAGCATCGCTGGGCTCCGCCCTTGCTGGAGTGATAATCACAGTACCCAGTTGAGGCATTTTTCCAAAGAGCACGGTATCCTTACTGCCCAGGTTTCTAGCAGACGAAAGAAATTGAGATTGAGATGCAAGGCATCCTCGCAGTCCTCACAACAGCAATCTAGTCTTCTCAGCTTCCTTTGTCCGCTACTCAAGCTCATTGGGGTATGTAATTATCTTTTTTCTGCCATCAAACGTCTTCTGTCTAGAGTGGCGATCCATCGGCACCACGGAATGGTTTGCTCGAGGTGTGGAAATTTTTCTTTTTTTCGACTTTCAAACAAGGATTGATTTATGTAGTCTGCGACGTCCGGAATTGCAAGCTTGGCAAGGCTGCCTTGGGGAAAGAACGTCAACACGCAGATTGTATCTTCACGGACGAAGCAACCACTTGAGCTCTTCAAGCTCTACGAATTCGGTAAAGCTTAAACTCTCGCATTTTTTGGTCGCCTGTTCATTTTTCTTGTTTGTATATAGAGGCCTGTCCCTTCTGTAGACGAGTGAGAGAAGCATTGACAGAGCTCGATCTTTCTGCCGAGGTAGTGTCTCGCGGAAGTTGCAGATGGAAACTTTTTCAATCTTTGTGTAGGTGTATCCGTGCCCAAAAGGATCTCGAGTCCATCGTGCGTTTGTGAAAGCGTCTGGAGGCAAAGAGCAGTAAGTGATACACTCTTGTCTGTAACAGATTCTCATCGAATATGACAGGTTTCCATTTCTCTTGGATCCAAACACCGGCATGTCAATGTACGAGAGCTGTGAGTAATTTTTCTTTTCATCACAATCAGCTTGCATGAATGCCTCTGGCAGCCGATATTGTCAACTACTTGTTCCAGGAATATGGTGAGAGAAGGCGGCCAACATTCGGGATTTTAGAAAGGTAACAAGTTTTACTGAAGTGTAAACTCTTCGGTATTTCATCATAGTGTGTTCCAGCACTTTAGTCACTGGCTGGGTTCCGACGATAATACGAGCAGGGCGAGGCATGTCACTGTGGAATGGAGCATTGCCAGATCCTCCACAGAAGCTCCTTGAGCTATACTCATACGAGAACAACCAGGTAAAGCGCTGTGTTTTCAAAGAATTCTAAAAGTTTTTTGGTAGTTTGCAAGGCTCGTAAGAGAAGCCCTGTGCGAGCTGGAACTTCCTTACATCCTCTGGAACACGGGCAAAGGGTCACTTAATTGCTCCAAGCTCAAGCAAATCTCGGGTTCAACACAGGTAACCTTTTGATCTATTTTTCCCTTCATTATCATTGTCAAGAACAGGTTCCATATCTGGTTGATCCCAACACCGGCATACAAATGGCAGAGTCTCTTGACATAATCCGCTATCTCTTCGCTAACTATAATTCGAAGTGATGTTGATGGAGAGTTTCCTTGGATTGATCAGCTATCATCGTGTTTGGTACTAATAGTGTATCGAGCTTTAATCCCAAGAACAAGGAAATGGCAGTTGCTACCATCAGCAAACGGAGGTGCCAGCTAAACAGCAGTGTTCCCACGTACGGAAAATGTACGGGGTGATCTTGACTAGACAGATAAAGAGGTTAGGGCAGGCATTCCTTTTGTACCCCATTTTTGAAGAAATGAGGCATTTGGCACATCACCTGGTCGCTTTTCTGCTACGGCCGGGAACGAGCTCAAGGTTGGGAGGTATGGGTCATGATGTGAGGATCGTTCGTGATTTGGGGTCGTGTCCTTCTTGGTAGGAAGAGAGGCAATTCTGCTTCGCATGCATCCAGGATGTCCCTGGATGTCCTGGACTGAGAAAACCCAAAACGATGGCTGGGACAGCAGTGCTTGGGCAGAATTTGAGAGCTTTGGATGCGCACACAGTGGCTATCATCCCTGGACACATTGATGAAAGGAAAGTGTTAGGTCTTTCTTTCTTGACTTCTCGACTCACTGACCAAACTTTTTGTGACGAGGTTTGAAGTTCTGGAGAGCAAGGACGAGCTTGATCTCATTGGACAACAACCACCAGAACCGCTGCGGCAGTTTAACCAGCGCTTTCAGTCTTATATTCGTAAATTCGTCCTGTGTGGCGACTTGATACGGCTGTGCATCACTTTGCCAAGTTCCAGCCTTCTTGGATTGGTCCTTATCAGGTACTTTCTCGTGCTGGCACTAATTCGTATTGGCTAGCAGAGTTGACGGGCAGGAAACCGAGTTCATCTCAAACGGTATTTCTTTTGACTGGTACAGTTCACGTTTCGTTTCTATTGTTTTAATGCTGTGAGTGTCTTTGCGAGAACTATTTTGTTACTCACAGGCCCGAACCTGATTCGGGAGCAGGACACTGTCTCCTGGGATAAGTTCTGTCGCATTCGCGATGCGGAGACAGCTTGTTGAGGGGCACGATCCTGTGGTACGTAATGCTTCTCTCTCCCCTGTCTCTTGAGGTTTCCGATCGTCACAGTTCTGAGGTGCATTCTTTGTCTCAAATCGCTGAGAATGTTAATCTGCATTTCCTTGTTTTCTGTCATAACTGTTACATTTGAACTGCTTTCTATGTTTTCTTGTTCCGTGGTCTCGTTCGTCTAGTTGTGGCCTGTCGTTAACAATCTTTCACTGGGGATGGCCAAAGCGCTTGGTCTCTCTGGCGTTGGAAAGTTTCATGGCGGTTGGTTCTCGTCGACAGTTGGCCAAGTCGCTTGGTCCTTTCGGCTTGTCAATCGACTGCCTATGACGGGCTGCTTCAAGGATGGATGAGACACGAGAAATTCATGTGTGATGCCTTTCTGTGCTTATTGTCTTTCTTTCATACCATTGCCTCGGAGCTTGAACATCGATGCTACCTCAGAATCTTTGACTTTGGACCTCCAATCACTTGGGATTGAGACTCATTCGCCCCTTGAGAGTGCACTCCATCAACACTGAATCTCTTAGTATCTGCGCACTTGGGACGTGCTTTCCCCAGTCAGTCGCCAAATACGAAACGTACGGGAGAGTGTTATAAGAGGGTAGACATTCTTTGGATGATGTTAGTGCATAGGGCATGAAGGGAACCGCCATGGAGATGTGCTCCAGGTCGAGATAGCTTCGTGTCGGCTGGATATGCAGTGGAATAATTCCAGCACTGCCAAGGAAGAGAACATAGAATTCAGGTGGTTTTACAACAAACCTGGAGAATCGTCTCTTTGTTCAATGCAAATCCTTGATTTTGGAATTCTTCCTCCTTAAAGAATCTAATGTCTTCACAACTCTCTATGGTCATTTAAAGCCTTTTTGGCAGCTCCTAGAAAGCTTGTGGTTGAAGAACTACATTTGTAATGAAGAGCAAGAGTCCCCAGGAGAGGCATGCAATCCATGACCTAGGTCAATCTGCTGAAATTTAAGTTGAACCTAAGTTGCAAAGATTGCAGGAAATTTCACTAAAGCATAAAATAGTGATAAAGTCATCTCTTATCTGTAAATTGTTTTTTAAGTTTTGCCATCTTGAGTTTAAGTATCAGGTGTTGAGTAGGATTGATGCTAATCTACCGTCAAGCATCCAACCTTTTACATATTTATCTAAATATTTATTTCGAAATATTTCTGATATGTAGATGATAAAAGAAAATTTAAAAATTTTAAATATATTTATTCAAAATGAAAGTAATAAGATACTTGAGTTTTATATTATTTTAAAAAATTATAAGTTAAATTTTTAGTTTAATATAAAATGATGGTAACATGAAGAACAACAATATTTTCTAAATTTTGTAATATACTTCTTGTTTGCATCCTTTTAAAAAATATATATACTTATTTATCAGTTTTGATATAAAAAACAGGATCTTGTAAATCCATGTAATAACTATAATTGAGATAAGGTTATTGCTAATGGCAATCCCCTTGGATCATTTATGATAAAAAATCAATCTCAATAGAGTTTGATTACAAGAAAATGATGAAAAGGAAACACAAAAGGAAGTTAAGCAATATAAATTATAACTAAACTTAATTCAATTTATAAATATTGATTATTAAGGTTAAAAATTGTCAATGTTGTGCCATTTCTAGCCTCCTGACAAGAGCTACATCACTATGTATAAGTGATATAATCTTAACAATTGCTCAATGTGGCCATCTTCCAATTGCTATCATATTATTCCATATGTGTAATAACTCTGGCCCAATCCAATCCTAATGTTTTTAATTCAAGGGTTTGCTTTAAATAGCTATTAATAATATTTCATTATCTTGTGCATTTTTTGGAGGCTTATGTGCATCATATCATAATCATCCATAAAAGAGATGTATTGACTTGTAAAATTCCTTATAGAACAAGTTTTCACTAATAAACCATCTTAAATATCTAAATTGAATTAATGCCTCCATTTTTTCTGCTTCTAAAGTAAACAATTACTCCTTTATTTTTGATAGTTAGGTTTAAAATGTAGAACCTTTTAGTTGTTTCTTGATCAATATTTTGATAGCTTTTATATCCTTTTTAATGACTTATATTTTATTAAATCTTCTCCTTCACTTAGTCTATGTTTTTTTCATGGAGCTCACTGGTTATTTTAACCATGAATTTGTTAACTTCCTAGCTTTCTTTTATACAATAATTAGTGTATGTGTTTTCAAAGTGTTTTTTTGATAATGTAGGCTTCTTGATTCCACATCTTTAAGGATTAATATTGTTAACAAAACAGTGATCCAAGAAGTCTTTATATTCTATAGCAATATTTAATTTCTCATTATTATGACATAAATTTGGTGACAAATAAAAATGTTTTATTTGTCTTTGATAAAATTAAAATCTCCGGTAACAATCAATATTGAAGGTTACAAAGGGAGCTCCTTTAAGATCTCTTGAAAAAAACAACCCCTCTCTAATGAATGACTTACCAATGCATATACATTTAGAGAGCATTAGTCATATATTTGATTTTAAATTAAACACATTACATGTGATCCCAGAACCAATATTATGTCTATTATAAAGTAACTCCCACAAACCTTTAACCACTACTAGCATCCCCTTACTACATCCTATTGTCAAGTTCCAAAAGTTTTTTTTTTTTTTTCTTGCAAACTTATACACTAAATTCACACTTGAAAGACAATGCTTTTTCACACATAAAAAATCATTTGTGATATTCCTTATGATGTCAATAAAACTATCATACCTAGGCAAAACACATACTACATACTCACTATCAGGAAATTTGTTATGCATGTTTTTGTAAAAAGCATGATATGTCCATGTAGTATATGTGGTTTTCACCTTTATCCTATCGTGATTTACCATAGGATAACCATAAAGTGGAATCTAGACCCTCCATATGTCATATGCCATATATCATATATCCAATGGACAGCAAAGTGGAACTTTTGTTTTAAGGCCACTCATTGGGCCACTGAATGAAGATATAGAGCTAAGCTCCCAAACTTGCAACCAATGAGTGAAAGAACTGGAGTATGGTGTGATTTTTGAGCATTCAGCCCAAAAAGTGAAGGGACAGGAACATGGAGTGATGTAGGAACAATCTTAGAGCATTCAACATTCTAATACCAAGACTAGCATGCAAAACGGACCTAAATAGAGTCTGACACTATTTCAATATACCAGTGGCCTAACGTAAAGATATGGGTATTTCATTAATTAACATGGTATAGAACTTGGACTTAGACCCAAGCTGGACGCAGAACAAAAATACGCATGCAAATAAGAGCTAAACTATGCCTTAGGTTATTTGGCCATGCTTGACCTACCCACTATCCCTACTATATATTTGGAACTTTTGACAATCCCCCCCTCTTTGAGGAACATATGCTTTGGGCTTTCAACTTTAACTACCCTTAGTACCAGAAGTTAGTCTCTAGAACTAATTTGAAACTTATTAAATATGGAATGTCCCTAGATTGCAAATGTGGATACAAGACCAACACTATTGTGGTCAAAACAATCTTTACATTCCGTAGATTATGCCAAATAAATAGATCTAGACACTTTCTATAAATAGCATTTAGAACCAAATGGTACTTAACACAAGGCATATAATAGTGAGGGTGTTTGGTAGACACGGTAAACTATCACTTAGCAAATATTAAGGGACTAAGCAAAATTTTGTGAGGGTTCCCAACATTAATAAGTGCAAGTTAATGAATGAGTTTCTCTAACCAGGTCAAGTATGTTTGACTAATAGCACTTAGGAATTCCATCCTGATGCTCATTTAGTCAAGTGCATACGCAAAGACCAGTTTCCTAATTAGCTTAGGCAAAAATTGAAAAAAAAGATTTAACAATACTAGCCTCTTGCCGTCATGGCAATAAAGAAAGAATATCCAAAAAAAACTAGCCGATAGATAGCTTTTAATACCTAAAGTCACTTTTGCGACAGTCCACATCATAACTTGGAAAATGAGAAAGTTTAGAAATTAGATAAAATATGAAATACCTACTCATCTTTTTAGGCTTATTTTGAATGCCCCTAATATCGATGCCAATAGGATCCATGATGCATTCAAAGGAGAATGACTTGAAATAAACTTCTACTACATACATCATAAGCTCATACATCTAGTTGGGGTCGTTTAGTAAGATAAAAATGACATAGTTAACTTCGAGTAGAAATGTTTATGACAAGAAAAATATATCACACAGGTGGTCGAGTGTGAGAAAGTTTCTAGTCCTTGACTTCCCTATCAATATTTGAAGACTATTTGGAAAGGTGAAGAGAATGAAGTTTGCAAGGGCTTTTATATCTTTCAGCACTAATAGTCGAACTAGTGTTATATTTCCATGTTCATATCTTCTTTTGTGAAAGATGTCAACAATCTACTATAGAAGCCAATGAAGACACCCACAATGCCTCGATGTGTTATTGGGAAAACAAGACAAACCTATAGAAGAGTCATATGAATAAAAAAGCTACCATCTTATGATTGTTTGGTAGTGAAATTAAAGCTTGATCTTGGTTATCAAATGGTGGAATATGAGTTTGATTCAGAGCTTCTTTATCTTCATCTCCATTGTCACTATATCATCATTAAATTTGAACTTCTCATAAGGTCACCCAACCCAATACTATTTAAACCCAAAGAAGTTTAACCTCAAATAGCCTACCAATTGGAAAAAAGGTGCCCTTTATATTTGAACCTTGATAAATCATTTTTCAAATTAGTTTACAATCTAGCACACTTCCTTGCAAATTCACACCCTCCTGAAAAGTTGAGAACCACAACTCTCCCCGAGAGCCCCACTTTTTTATATTAAATATCCCAATACCCTACTCACAATTTGTGTGATATAGATAACCCTTTTTATCAATTTTCCAATATTGTAAATCATATCATCTAGAGTTTTGTTCACTACAAAAGTAATATGTGTAATTGAGAAAAATGAAGCATGTGATAAAAAATTTATATTTGTGAATATAAAGTTTAACTATACTCTCTAGTCACTCCTTCAGCTTGTGATTGTTTGTGATACATACTAGTTTCTTCAACTTTGAAGACTTTACATATTGAATTTTATACTTAATT